CTCTGCCACATAATGAACTGGGGATAATGATGTTGACCTCACGTGCTGACTGTGATCAAATAAAAGAGCCCAGTCATTTTTATTTTCTTTTGAGACAGGGTCTCACTAAGCTGCCCAGGCTGGCCTCCAACTTGCAATCCTCCTGCTTCAGCCTCCCAAATGACTGGGATCACAGGTGTCATTTCCACCCTGGGTTTCAGGTGATTGACATGTGGAGCTGAGCCTGGCAGAAGTCTAGTACTCAGCACCCTCCCTCCCTGTGTCCTGGTGTGTCAGTCAGCTTTTTCCTCTGCTGTGACTGAAGGACCCAGCCAGAACAATTGTAGAGGAGGAAAGTTTATTGAAGGACTCACAGTTTATTGAAGGTCTCAGTCTATAGAAGGCCAGCTCCACTCCTCGGGGCTCCAGGTGAGGGAGAACATCATGGTAGAAGAGTGTGGCAGAGGGAAGCAGCTCACATGGTGACCAGAGAGCAGAGAGACTCCCTTCCCCAGATACAAAATGTATACCCCATAGCCACACCACCAGTGAACCACTTCCCCCAGCCACACCCCATCTACCTCCAGTTACCACTCAGATAATCCCATCAGGGATTAACTCACTGGTTAGGTTAAGACTATAACCCAATCATTTCTCCCCCAAACTTTCTCGCATTGTCTCACATGTGAGCTCTTGGGGGGGACAGCTCATATCCAAACCATAACACCTGGGGAACATCTTTCTGGCCAGAGAGACAATTGGGGACAAGAACCATGAGTGCCACAGCCAGAGGGTACCACAGGTGACCCAGCAGTGGCTCCACAGGCCCTTCCTTTGGTTCTGCAAAGGGGCCTTGGGGTTCCTGGAGTGGGCAAGACAGCGCCTAGAGCCCCCGACCCACACTGGCAGAGCTCTCTCTCATCTGTTGTATGTTGAGACTTCTATACAAGGTCTTTTTAAATTTCTGGGATTTTTTTTTCTCTATTTCTTTTTCTTCCTTTTTTAGGTGTGGTGCTGGGGATGGAAGCCAGAGCCCCATCCATGCTGGACCTGAGCTCTACCACTGACCAGACCCTCAGCTTTTGTTTTAAGTTTTTGTAGCTAAAAATGTTGGGAAGTTTGTTCCAACTATCCCATTTTAAATGATGAAATAATGATTTGCAGGCAGAGGGCGTCGGAACGTCTTCCCGGCACCTACTGTGGTGAGGTCCTCTGGGCTCCAGTTTTCCTGCTATACTAGAGACCCTCTTCCTGTCCACCAATCCCTTAGAGGGTCTCCCTGGGCTCTGGACAGCCTGGGCCCATGAAGCAGGCCAGTGAGACTCACCCAAAGCCAGCACTCCCCGGTGACTCACACGTCCCTCCTGGGGTCTGTTCAGTTCAGTTCAACAACACAGATGGAGCCCCAGCTCTGGGCCAGGCATGGCCACTGTCTGGCCAGGTGGAGCATAAACACAGCCCATGACAACCCCAGACAGCTCCAGGCCGCGTGGAGAGGGCTCCCTAGAGGCTGGCATAGGGAGATGTCCTCCAGGACAGGCCAGACGAATTCTTTCCCTCCGGCTCCTTGGTGCCCTCCAGCCAGGGCTTCAGAGGGATGGGCCCGCTCAGAAGAAGCCAGGAGCCCTTCTAGACCCTTATGTTCACCAAGATGGCACTGGCGAGGAATCTGCAGTCACCGACTCCCAGGGGTTCGGGGCTCAGCCCAGGAGCAAGGGTTCTGGGGAAATCTTCCCAGTCTATACTGGAGGACTGGAGTAAGTCACTACCCTCCTCT